TTATATTATATAACAATTATACATTGTTATATAACAATTTTTAGATTTTTGCCAAAGATATACTCTTATCAAGTTAAAGGGATAAAGTGAGGTAAGTAATTGTGTTTCGAAACTATTTTACGATTAAAGGGATAAGTTTAATGCAGAAACTCGGAGATCATAAATTAGGAATTCTATCGAAAGGAGCTTAGCTCGTAGGTTTTACTGTTTGTCTAGGTAGAACTGATCAAGCAGCATCATCCGACTGACTTTTCCATCTTATGCTAAACTTTCCAGATTATGATAAACTTTATTAATTTATCTGTATATGTGTATTGTATATTTTGTATTGTTGGTGCTTACCGCATTATACATTTAAACTCCTACGGAATCCAAAACTGCAATAAAAAATTGGAATTCCCATTTAAGATTTCAAAGTTGTCCACTTCCGTACTAGAGGATATAGTTGAGGGCTCATGTTTGGTGTCATTCGACAGATATTTGAAAAATATTAAACAGGTGTTTCGCGAAATATTCGACAGTCCCGCTTCTTTTCACACACCCTGTATATAAATAGGTATTATATTCATTTCTGTTGCATTTAATAGAACAAAATCCAACATTCTTACACATAAAATAAAGGAAATTTGATATTTTACTTTTCAAGTGATCCAAATTAAATTTTAAAGCCACTGTTTGAGGTCCACTTATCATCGCCTAATTACTTATAGTCTTCATAATATATGGTTTTACCTTTTTTAGTATAGACCCGAGAGACGGTTCCCCAATAGGAAGACGATCAGTAGGAAGACCACGAAAACGATAGAATGATAACTTACTGGAGCCACTTCTAGATAGAAAAAAAAGTAGAAGAAATTTACTCAATACAAACTACATGACAATTAATGTTCAGCCAGTAACCTTACTTACTAGTTAATGAGAATAATAGCAATAACATTGTAATTTTACTTTCTGGATACGCATTTAAGTTTTGCTTCGCCTTTTACTACATTTTTATACTAATTTTATGAAAATAATTATTTTACTTATTTAAAAAAGTTTGCTCATTGGTTATTCAACCAACAGACATACGCAACGTGTAGTATATATACCTACCCACTTAATTTGCCCTACTTGCTAAAAATATCGCGGCAATTCTAAAAAAACTATCTAAGTGTCAAGTGAATTTTAAAATAGAATAGATAAGAATCAATCTCGCTAAAAATTTCACGTCAAGTAGCAGAGCTTCCTGAATATTTATCCAGACCAACCTTTCCGAAAATATTTACATTACATAAAGATAAACAAATTTCAAATGAAATGTATCTTGTATTTTTAGCAGAATCGAGCTTAAAATACACACATTCAATATAAATTCGGTGTGACATCAACGATGCCAAATTTATCTACCTGCAATGAATACATAGACAATTTTTTTCTACACTTTCTTTGTGACAGCCTCTGGTCCACACTTTTATTTACCATATTCCTATTTTAATTTTCTCAGTCGTATTTTATTTTTTACTTACCTATGTGAATTGGTATATTTTTTTTTGTTTTATTGATGCATTTCGTTACGTTTAATGTTTGCTTCCCATATTATGTAATTTTGGTATTCCCGTGCTTCTTTTACTTGCCCCCTTTTCTTATATTTTCTATACACTTCAATGGTTATATAATATAAATTTCATATTAGAAGTAATGGATTTTGACAAGAGCTATGAGTCATGCCGATTTAGTACATAAGTTTACCTGTTATTTTCAAGGTCATAGCTCGTGTTAAAATCTATTACCTATAATTCCCACTTGTGTTAATTTGGCTATTCCCAGTTTACGTAGTTTGATGACGCATATTGAATATTCTTTCATTTTATATTAATACATAAAAACATGAATAACCCATCTCTAAAGCATAAAAATATAAGAGATACATAGGGAGAACTTAACATTTACCTGGAACAACCAAAAAGTTACAATTTGACATATCGACATTGCAGGAGACGAAACAGGTGAAAAATAATATATTAGAAATAAGAGATGCAGCAATTGTGGTTTTGTCGATAGGATATTCTGATTAAAAGATATCACATTTTTACCGTCGAATTGATACAAATTTAATTTTTGCAAACTTGATTTTGCGCTCCTAACTAACATTCAAAATCTCCGGTCCCTTCAAGTGTTGTTTCTGAATGAACGGTTTATTCTACACAAAAAGTGCTAATAGAGATTTTTCAGCTACATTTTTTATTTTAAATATCCCCCTTCCAGCGGGTTTAGGAGAAGCCCATTAACCACACCATCATCATCATCATCATCCAGCCGAATTTTCACATCCATTGTTGGATATAGGCCTCCTCTAAACGTCTCCAGTTCTCTCTATCTCTAGCTGCTGCAATCCAGTTTGTTTCTATTCTCCTTAGGTCGTCGGTCCATCGGGTGGGTGGTACGCAATCTTTCAAGGTCAGGCCCAGCATTGATCTCTCCATTCGCCTTTGTGTTACCCTCAGTTTTTCGGCAGTAGCTTTCGTTAAAGTTAAGGTCTCTGCTCCGTAGGTCAAGACTGGTAAGATGCATTGGTTAAATGCCTTCCTTTTCAGGTGAATTGGGATATTTGTTTTAAAAATGTCTCTCATCCGTCCATATGGCGCCCATCCCAACATGATTCGTCTATTTAGCTCGCAGGTTTGGTTGTCTCTGGTTATTCTAATTTCATAACCCAAGTATGTGTATTTATCGATTAATTCTACCTTGTTGTTATTGATCTGTATCTCTTCGCTGGGAACCATATTGGTCATCATTTTGGTTTTATCGAAATTTATCTCCAGCCCAGTTTCTTGTAGTATGTCATTCAGTTCTTGGAGCATGTCTTTGATCTCTCCCAGATTATCTGACAGAAGCACGATATCGTCCGCAAAACGTAGATGGTTTAATCTTTCTCCATCGATGGATATTCCTTTCTGTTGCCATGTTAGTTTATTAAATGCATACTCAAGAACGGTAATGAACAGCTTTGGTGACATGGTATCACCTTGCCTGACTCCCATTTTTATCTTTATTTTATTAGTTGCAGAATATAGACTTATGGTTTTTGTGGCATTTTCATATATATTTTTAATTATATTACAATATCTGTGGTCGATCCTGCAATCTTGTAGTGCTCTTAAGATGGATCTATAGTTCCACTGTATCAAACGCCTTTTTAAAGTCTACAAATATCAATGCCAAGGGACGGTTATATTCGTTAGTTTTTTCTATTAGGGTTTTTAGGCACTGCAGGTGATCGTTTGTGCCGTAATTAGGGCGAAAACCAGCTTGTTCCCGAGGTTGGTAAAAATCCAGCTTTGTCTCTAATCTATTCGTTATTATTCGGGTGTATAATTTATAAAGATGGTTAAGGAGACTAATTGGTCTGTATCTTTCCAGGTCTGCTATATCTCCCTTTTTGTGTAAGAGTACAGTTATTGACTTATTCCACTTTGTTGGGATATTTTGATTCCATAGGCATAGATTAAAGAGTTTTTGAATTTTGGCTATCAGTAATGAGCCTCCTATCTTTATCGCTTCCGTGACGACACCGTCCTCCCCGGAGCTTTGTTATTCTTCATCTTTTTTAGGGCCTTGTAAATTTCGTTCAAGGAGATTTCTGGAATATCTTCGGAACCCTGATTTTGAACCTTCCTCTGTTGATATTCGACTATATCTAGAGTCGATTGGTTGCTATATAATGTCTCATAGAATGATTCCACAATTTGTAACAAATGTTCTCTGTTTGATGTGATATTGCCATTTCTATCCTTGAGTTTGACTATTTGTTTATTTTCATTTGTGAGTTTGCGTCTCATTATTTTCATACTCTTATTTTCCTCAATGGTTTTGATGATTTTCTCATCTTTGTATTTTCTTAAGTCTTTTCTGATTTCTCTTGATACTTCCTTATTCATTCTGTTTATATCGTCGTTACTAGAGTTTTCGTCGCTTCTCAGTATTCTTCTTTGTTCCATTTTTTTCTGTGTTTTCAGACTAATTTTTTCTTCCTTCACGCTTTTTGGGCAGCATTTCTTTTGAGCTTCTGTTATTGCTTCTACTATTATGTCATTTAGAATGTTAATATCATTTGTTGATGATTTTTCTTGAAGGAATTTACCGATATGATCTTCAAAATTTTGTTCGTTGTTTGGATGTGTCCATCTGTTTATTTGCTTCTTTTTTATCATATTGTGTCGTTCATAGTTGGTATTTAACACAATGGTGGCTCTCACCCTACGATGGTCGCTTGATTTCGCAAATTTATTTAGCCCTGTCACATCTGTAAATATGTATCTTTTATCAGTGATAAAGTAATCGATCTCGTTTGTCGTGTTCCCATCTGGGCTTTTCCACGTCCATCTGCGGTGAGGTTTCTTGTAGTAGTAACTGTTCATTAGGAATAGGTTTTTCTCTAGTAGGAAGTTTAAAAGAGTGTCGCCACGGTCGTTCCGTCCCTGACTTCCGAAATTTCCAAGAGCAGTTACTGCTGGATCCAGTTTTGTTCCTATTTTGGCGTTAAAGTCTCCACATATAACTGTGAAATGTGTGCGGTTGTTTGTGATGGCTGTACTTAAATCATCATAAAAGACTTCGATCTCCTCGTCTGTATATTCTGTTGTTGGAGCATAGACTTGGATAACTTTTAGATTATATCTAGTATTTATTTTAAAGGTGGCATATGTAACTCTAGTGGATACTGACTGGACAGTTTTTAGATTTCCTGCTAGCTGTTTGTTTATGAAGAATCCGACGCCTCCTACTGACGGACTGGACTTAACCACACCATAGAAGTGGTTAATTTTTGCATATTTTTTGGAGCCCCAAAATTGACATTTTCAGCAAAATTAAACTTGTTTATGTAATTTTTAAAGGTTCACTTACATTTTCGGCTCTGGCGACTAGAATGCGATATTTAAATTTGGAGATAGTTATGAATATATTAGTTATATTTTTTATAGACACATTAATAAAGTTTGTCTTTTTATTTATTCCAGGTATCGTAAATAGAGGTGACTCATTTAGAAGACGACGTTCAAGAAGTAACAGCTTAATCCCACCGTCGATAGGTGGCACTCCCTCCCCTGTCCTAGACATGCCCGACCAAAACTTGTCAGAAGTATTATCATATGTCGTATCATTATTAGGTGCTCAAGGAGTTGGTAAAACCGCTTTGATCAGTCAATTTATGACATCAGAATGTATAAATGCCTACGATAGACAAAAAGGTAAGATAATTAAAAAATAATTAATTGTATGTTTTTTTTCTTTTACAACGGGCATACTGCAACCAATTGGTTTATTTTACATCTATTATTAAGTATTGTACAAATACTCGGAACTTCGATTTATAGATGTTACAAGCAATGTCCGAAATTGGACAATCCTAGCATTGTACGGAAAATCTTGTCCACTTCTAGCATTGACCTCGTTTGCTGTACAATCTCCGAACTAGACATAATCGTCGGAATGTGTATAAAAAAATTGCTCTACAATGTTCGGATTTCAATTGGTAGTTATGCGTCAAAGTCTAGGAGAATAGAACTGATATCGATTCATATCGATTTTTATGATCATTCCCCATTTGCTATTAAAGACAAACATCAATGAGGTGATAAATTTATAACTAATTAGGGCTTCTGACTTCTGGATTGTAAGATTAAATTTAAATTAACACATCTCTTAAAAATCTTAAATGTTTCACAAACATCTTCCCTCTATTATCGTGACTAACATTATCACGCTATTATAGAACAATTTCTTCTTATTATTTATCTTTTAGTTTGATACATCATTTTATCACATTGTCGATTCGAAAAAGAACAACTCTATAAACAGAAAATATAAAAATATCAAATAATTAACAAGAATGTTTGATTTTTGATTTGATGTGTCGCTTGTCAATAATAATCGATTCGAATCGATGAGAGTTTCGATAATCATTTTTAATTTTGATAATTTCGTACATCGTACAGTTTGAGGCTATAATGCTAGAAGTGGACAATAATTTCCGTGCAATTATCCAATTTCGGGCTTCAATCGTAACATATACATACGCTCTCCGTCACCACCGGTAGACCTATTATTTGGCCCTGATGTACTCAGGCCAATACGAAATAGTGTACTTCAGTGATCGATAGTACTGGGGCTCGTGTATCCCGTTGCTTATTACTGTGCACCGGTCATACTCATCAGACCGCACACCAAACGTGTTGACGCTCAACTAAACTAGGCTTCACGTTTTATATCAGGCACAATTAAGGCCACCTACCAGCCACATAGCCGAGAACATACGCTGGTCAAGGACTATAGAAGAATTAGGCAGAGGCATAAGTAGGCTTCGCTCAAGAAACGGCCGTCTAGAAACGGCAAGAATTTTAATTGAAACAAACTTTAAGATAACCGACTGTTTATGAGAAAAATGGTAGAAGAATGCACCGTTTACCTCCCGTAATATGCCATGTATTAAAAGCAAGCCAAAGGGTCTTGACCAACCAAGACGAATCTGGGCCACACTAAACAAAATAAGAATCAATTGTAGCAGCTGCTCCGACTCAGTTTTCAGGTGTAGAATAATTACTATTGCGATGTTGGTGTTGCAAGGGGAATGGTTAAACATTTAGTGGAGGAATGACCTATCAGACCTAGTGCCAATCCATTCGATTTCTTAGTTGCGACCAAAGAGTCGATTGACATTTAACAAAAAAAGCTAAACTACAATTACTAACAACGAAAACACTACTGGAAGCAATAGAAATGACAATATAAGACATTAGAATCGATGTAAACATACTTGTAATGTGTTTACAGTCATTACAAGCAAAATAAACATAATATTATTCGCTTCAGATAAATCACTGGTAGAACATCGGAATGTGTTCTGTCGTTTTATCTCTCAACGATATTCCCAACATTTGTCTTTCCATAGCTCTTTGAGTTTTCTTTATTCTAGCTAAGCTGCTCTTGGTACACATCCACGTCTGGATACTATATGTTACAACAGGTAGAACGCGTGCATTAAATACCTTCGTTTTTAATTTTCAAGGTATTTTTTGGTTTTTGATAGTATATGAGAGTTTTCCGAATGCAGCCCACCCCATTCTTATTGTTCTGGTTATTTCTTTAGTCTGGTTACTTTTGTCTGCTCTGATAGCTTGTCCTAAGTAAATATATTCTTGGACGTGTTCTATGTCTGTTCCACCTATGGTAATTACTGATCTGTCTTCTGTATTAGTCATTATTTTACTTTTCTTTAGATTCATTTTTATTCCTTTCTCAAGACATGTTGTTTCTAGGTCTGAAATCATTATTCGTAGTTGTTCCATAGTTGTTGCTATCAGGAGTACATCATCGGCGAATCTTAGATGATTTAAATATTTCCCGTTTATTCTCATCAATGCATTGTATTAAATCCCATTGCCACTGAGTTCAACATTTATCTCTTTTGACCATCCTAGTCTATTTTTCTTATATTGTGTTGTTAAAAGTGGCTTTGATGACCCTAAAATTAAAAAAAATCGTACTAATTTTTTCAGGGATAAAACTTACTTTGTAAGTACCAGATCCTAATTTGTAGACCTCTCGGTGATATTTTGATCTATAAACATATCTCCCAATAACGTAACTCCACAAAACGCTTAACTCCATATAATTTGCTTGTCGATTTTTCACTATAATGAGTCTTAATTCCCTTTGTTTTGATGTCATTTTTCCATAGCTCCCTACCTCTGGATTTAACGTAATTATAAAAAAATCAACGCATGTTGACATACACTTCATTGGCGTCATAGCCCGTGACGTCACATGATACCAACACGAAATATTTAGGTGATAGGTGTGTTCTTTTTTAGAATCACTTTGACGAGTACACTGGCATTACAGCCACTAAAATAGACATATTTTATTATATACGCATAGAAATAATATTTAAAAATTTCTATTAATGTTAAAGAAATACACAATAATATGTTTCATTTAATTTGTATAAATGCATTATAAAGCGTTTTTATGAAGAATATTTGATCGGAACACACTGTAACTGTAATCTTGAAATTTTGGCATAAATTGGTAACACTTATTTGACACTTGCGTTGTTGACACTTTTTGTACTTTATTATTTTGAATTTTAAAGTGAATACCTCTTGTTTTATATTTTTACCTATTTAATAAAATCTGTTCTTTTTAGAACAAAATTAGTATGTTTTATTTCAAAAATGTCACGTAAGAATTTAAATAGTCGTTGTAGAGAGATGGTAATAGTTTTGCAATAATTATGTGATCTATTTGATTAAAAATTGAGTCAGGATTTTTTTATACTTTGGCAACTATGTCAACTTCGATCTCTGACGTAGATAATGACATGTATCGGTAAGTAAATTAGATGAAGTATAAATGAATGCATAGCCGGGGTTTAGTGATTCTTTTTATTGTTGAAAATAAATAAAAAACCATACGGGTAATGTTTTTAATAAATGCCATATTAATTAATATGGGAACTTATAAAAACATGCAGAGTATAATTTGTTTATGATAATCGACTTAAACTGCAAATTCCATAGTTGGGCCAGCTGACATGGGAAGGGGCTCGTATTTATTATAAATCAAGGCATTAGCATATGATTCGTCACACTGTGCCTTTTGCATCAAAGTCCTATAAGAGCGTTTTAGATCGTCAGTCCATCGTGTTGGTGGACGACCTCTCCTTCAGCAAGCAATATCTTTTGGTCTTCATTCCAGTATCCGCTTTTTCCATCTATTATCTGTCATTCGAGCCACGTGACCTGCACAGTTCTACTTTAGTGTTGATATTCTCTCTACAGCATCAGCCATTACTGATCTTCTTCGTAGCTGTCGGTTTAAATAAAATATATTGAAACGAAATTGTAAATTGCCGACTTCTTCTTCTTCTTTTTCAGCCTTCATTTATCCAATGTTGGACATAGGCCTCCTCCAATTGCTTCCATGCTTCCCTATCTTTTGCAATTCTCATCCACTGCTTTCCAGCTACGGCAGTTATATCGTCTATCCATCTTTTTTTAGGTCTTCCCATGTTTCTTTTTGTTTCTCGAGGTCTCCAGAATGTCACTTTATGAGACCATCTGTTGGTGTCTTGTCTTGCTACATGTGCTACCCATTGCCATCTCAATGTCGCTATTTTTCCCATGATGTCGGTTACTTTAGCTCTTCGACGTATTTCGGTGTTAGGAATTTTGTCTCTGAGGCTTATATTTAACAATTTAACATGACCCTCTCCATGGCCCGTTGAGTTACTCCTTATTGTTCTGCCATTTTTCTTGTTATTGCCATAGTTTCCAATCCATAAGTTGCAACTGGTAGTATACAAGTGTCATAGGTTTTTCGTTTTAAGTGAATTGGGATTTTTCTGTCGTTTAAAATGAAGCTCAACTTACCAAAAGCAGCCCATGATAATTGTGTCCTTCTTTTAATTTCTAGGGTTTGATTTTCCTTTTCGTTTTTAATTGCATGTCCTAGATATATATATATATATATATATATATATATATATATATATATATATATATATATATATATATATATATATATATATATATATATATATATATATATATATATATATATATTGTTATGATATGTAAAATCGAGAAAAATATTGGTTTGTTTAAAATATTTCAAAGTTCAAAAACATTAAAATAATTCAGATAAGTAGGATAATAACCAACAAACATTTCGAAGAAGGAAATTCTTTAAATTTTTGGATTACCTGTATTAAACAAAATGTAAGTTATGCATAAATTATTTTTTTTGTTAGAATATACTTGAGTGACCCGCATAATTTTAAGTGAAATCCAAAGACAAATGAACCGGGTTTTCCAAATACATTAACGCAGTGATTAAGGACAATAGAATAGATTTTAAAAAGATAAATTTGTGTTAGTTTTTAAGAATCGTAGAAAAATATTGTTTGTAAATAAGTTTTAGGAAATTTTATAATTATAGGTAAAATTTTGTTTGTTATCGAAATGAAAAAATGGGAGAATTGTGACGAGCTTTGATTGGCGGAGATTGAAAAAGGTGGGATAGGTATGTAGGAATGAAAGTTTAGCTAGATTGTTGAGAAAGAAAAGATAGTCAGTTGGTTTTCCAAGTCTGTAAGACGAACAGTGATTGTTCTCTGGCGGTTCCCGAGAGGTAGCAAGCAGTAGTGTTGAATGTTAGTGAGTTTTTGTGGAGTTAGTGTATCTGACAG